CATACAAACTACACAGCTCGTGATAGACCCCACAATCAGATTGAGTGTCGTTGTCAAAGATAAGTGCCCGAGGTATGCCGAAGCGGGTGATAATGTTCTTCCATACAAACCATTTAACATTGACGTCCTAGATATGGGTCAAGGGTTTGGCCTCCACCCATTTGGTGAAATAGTCGGTAGCGACTTGCAGAAATCATTTCTTTATAGGGGCTCGAGGCAGTGACCCGACATTGTCTAGTCCTTATTGAGCAAAGGGCCATGGACTAGTGATAGAGTGCAACGCTTCGGCGGGCAAATGCATTAAAGGGGAGAATTTTGGACATTGTGCACACTTCTTTACGTAGGCGTCAGCATCAGCTCGCATAGTGGGCCACCAATAGCCTTGAGTGATGGCTCGATGAGCCAATGATCTTCGTCCCATGTGAGCACCACAACTGCCTTCATGAATTTCGGCCAGAAAGTCTTCAACCTTAGTTGGATGGACACATTCTAGGTAGGGCCTAGAGAGAGATTTATTAAAGAGTTGTCCTTGAGGGTCCAAATAATACCGTAGGGCCGTGTTACGTAGTTTATGATCTTTTTTCTTGTCCTCGGGTACTTGCTCTTTGGAAAAGAAAGCCACAATAACATGGATAGTAGTAGGCTCAAGGACGTGGATACTCGGTTATGACAAGAAACTCATTTCGATGGTCTGTTTTACTTCCGAATTGAAAGCCGAAGCTAAGCAAGCGAGGGCATCGGCATATGTGTTCTGATCCCTCGTGATCTGGTTAAGTTCATGTTGATCGAATCGTTCAAGAACAGAACTAGCGATGCACACATAAGCGGCCATGCATTCATTCTTAGTTGTATACTCCCCCTTCAATTGGTTGATGACGAGTTTGGAATCACAGAACACTTGCACTTGCCTGGCCCCCATGTATAATGAGTTCCTGAGGCCGACCAGTAGGGCTTCATACTCGACCTCATTGTTGGAGGCGTTAAACCCAAGTTTTACTGATTGCTCGATGACAGCCCCTCTAGGTGTCATAATTACAACTTCGGCTCCGCTTCCATGCTGATTCAAGGAACCGTCACAATACAATTTCCATATGTTGCCGACATACATCCACCATTATGCAGGTTCCTTAGAAGCTGATAATGGCTGCATAACCGACTGGGATTGGATGGTGAATTCAGCAACGAACTCCGCCAACACTTGACCTTTGATGGCTGTCCTGGGAGCAAACTAAATGTCATACTGCCTGAGTTCTACATCCCATTTGGACACTTTACCCGACAATTCTGATTTCTGGAGGATTGAGCAGGGAGGATGATCAGTCAACACACAGACAATGTAGGCTTGGAAATAGTGCATCAACTTCCTTGCGGCCATTACAAAGGCAAGAATCAATTTTTCCAGGAGGGGATATCAGGCTTCGGCATCTACCAGTGTCTTGCTGATGCAAAAAATGGGTTTTTGTTCATCGAATTCTTCGGTAAGAAAGACGACACTGACAGCTTGGTCTGAAACAGCTAGATACAGAATGAGAACATCTCATGGAGTGGGAGTGGTCTGCAATGGAGAGGCGTAGAGGTAGGCTTTTCAATCCCTATAAGGCTGTTTGAACATGCCCGTAACTAATCGTTTGTATGTTGCCCTAGTGTTCTTTAATCCAAACGACATGAGCATGTAACAATAGGTGCCTCTTGGTGTCAGGAACGCCGTCTTGTCTTCATCGGCTGGATTCATGGCAATTTGATGATTAACCCTTGTAAGCATCCAAGAAAATCATACTGTGGTGATGGGTAGTTGCATCCACGAGTTGGTCGATTCTCGGCAATGGGAAGCAATCTTTTGGACAAGCCTTGTTTAGGTCTGTGAAATCTACACAGATACGCCACGACCCAGTGTTTTCTTCCTCACCACAATAGTGTTGGATAGCCATGTGGGATAAGTGACTTCCCTAATAGCCCCGACCTCTAATAACCTATCAACTTCTTCAATTACGGCAGCGGCATGCCCTGCAATTGAGCGGCGATTTTTTTTGGGTAGCCGGCTTAACTGTCGAGTCAGCATTCAAACAATGCATTGCAAATGTTGCATCAATGCCTGGCATGTCGTCGGGTGTCCAAGCAAAAACATCAATATAACCGAGAAGAAATGACAACAGCTCCTGAAGCTCGGCGTTGTTTAAACTTGCGTTGAGTGAAAAGAACTTGTTTGGATCGTCATTAATAAGTATCCGATGCAGGTCCTCTATAACTTTGTCAGCTGGGACTTTTTCGACGTCTTCTAGGCTCTCCTGATTCGAGGTTACAATTGAATTCACTTTCACTTCCTTGGAATTTTTGCTTAGGGCCGACATATAGCATTCCTTTGCAGATCGTTGAGAACCGCAGACTTACTCAATTCCGTATTGTGTTGGGAAACGGCGCAACTGGTGGTAAGTGCTCGGCACAGCTTGCATGGCATGCAGCCATGTTCGGCCCATGATTAAATTATAAGGTGAGGGGAGTTTAACGACCAAGAACTCAACATCCAGTATTTTGGTGCTTGCACACATTGGTAGCATGATTTTGCCAAGGGGATATTCTAGATTAGTGTTGAAGCCAAAGAAGGGGTACTCGGCTGGGTGTAGGTCTGGGTCGTTGAAGCCGAGTTTGAGAAATGCCTTGTAATACGTGATCTCAGACGTACCTCCTTGATCGATCAGGATACACTCGACGACGAACTTATTAACGCGCAACCCGACCACGAGGACGTCATCATGCGACATAGTGAGTCCTTGAAGATCATTATCCAAGAAATTGATTTCATTAGATAAATGACGTCACTTGATCACCCTGTCACATGTCGAATTAGGATCGGCCGATTGTATGTGCACCGAGTGTACACTGTCACATGGGGGTATGCTGCATATCATATAGATCATACCAGCTGGAGGTGAATCAAGACACACGGTTAGTACCTCCAGGGTTTTCTTCATTTTTGGCAGGAATTCGGCCAATTTTCCTGCTAGGACCAACTCCTTTAGATGATCTTTAAGGGCATAAATGGTCATATGTCCATGATCTTGATGGTATTCACATCTCTGATCTTTGTGCTTCTTGTCGGGTGGCCCAAACATTTTATTCGGCCATCAGAAAAAAGGCTGACGCTGTATCTAGTTTAAAACCTTGCTTATCGACTCGCGAAACTCAGTGTATGGCTTATCTGGCCATTTACGACGCCTACTTTCCAACTGATACTGCTTATTCTGTCGCGAATCCCGACGATTATACTTTCTGGACCGGTTCCTTGTATCTGGTCTTTTTCTCGGTGGAGTTCTTTTCGATAGGGTAGAGTCCAAAGGTTGGGCCATGACAGGCACAACCAATTCTTCATCTTGCAGGCTGGCTTTGACTCTGATTGCATCATCCTCTGCTTTGCAATATTCCTCCACTTTTTTCATGAAGGACCAGACTATTTTAGGAGGCCCCCTCAGAATGAAGTCCCATTTTGAAGGTCGTGATTGCTATAGTGTCGTTGCAATCATCGTCTACGAGGTTGAAGCACTCCAAGTAATGTACCGAATACTCGCGCAAGGTTTCTCCTTGTTTTATCTTCATCACCCAAAGAGAATCCGCTTGCTTTGGTTGCAGTTCATTAGTGATGAATCTGGCCCTGAAGGATTTCTAGAGTTAATGAAAACTCCCGACTGATCCAGGTTCAAGATTTAATACCATCTAACGGCCAAAGGTCCTAAACTCCTGGGGAAGATTCTACACATAAGCGCTTCGTTGTCTCCATGCAATGTCATAGCTTGCATCTAATGTCGCACATGATCCTAGGATCTGACTTCCCATCGTACAATGTAAATGACGGGCTTTGAACTTCTTAGGCAGAATGGCCTTGGCGATGCATCGCACAAAAGGGTCATGAGTAGCCTTCTCGTTGGAATCATCATTACTTTGCTTATGTTTGTGCCGCACTTGTGGGCTATCGTCCGATGAGTCTGAAGTGTTTGGTCAAACCCGCTTTCTAGGCTCTTCTCTTGATGTCTCTGAGTCACTATTATCCCCGCTCCTACAGGGGTGGTGTTGTTGGATTACTTTCTTCTTTGGCGACCGATCCCCAGCATGTTGTGGAGGAACTTGGGCATTGGACAACTCCTGATGTAGGCGTTCATTGTTAGCTGCCGTCTCCTCCATTCATTGTTCATTTCATTTTTCTTGATTGATTAGGGTTTGCATGGCGTTCTCTGCAAAAGATGAAGGTAAAGGAGTTAGCGAGTCGAAGTTCAGGGCTCTGCGTGCGGGCATGTCTTCTGGCCTATGCACCATTCCTGGTGTAACGTCAACATCATCGCCTGGGAGCGGAAGATCCCGTGCTAAATCTGTCATGGATGAGTTTGAGTATTTCCACAGACAGCGCCAATTGTGGAGTGATGTATTTGGAATACTCCTGGGTCCAAGTAGATCTCAGAACAGTCCTCCTGTAAGTACTTGAAACAAGAACAGCTCCGGTCGGGAGTGCCGGAATTAGCACTCCAACCGTTTAATTAGTCTTCTCTTTTATCTAGTGTGAAGTTTAGTTTTTGAACATACCTCACCTCTGGAGCTCCCTCATTCGTTTATAGACTTTTACTTCTTAGGTTCTATCCTCTACTCCACACCTCATCTGGATCTCGACGCTCTACGACGAGGAATCGAAATCTAACCATGATGCCAGTGTAAGGGACTACTCGGCTGTTGTTTGCAAATATTACTCGGATGCGGCCCCATAGGCCGATCTGCATGTTGGGCCCGATACCATTGGGCTACGATAATTCGGCTCCCACAGACGATTAGATTATTCAATTTTCAATACATATAATTCGATATTCCTGATATCAATACCCCTATTTAAAACATTGTATGCCATCCATTATAGTAGAAACAATTATTCCAATAAATCCAAATGCCATTCTAACAAAATTGCATCATTTTATTTTCAAGCCTTGGGACTATAATTTTGGTAATCATTTTTATTAATGTAGGTCATATCAAAGGACTTATTTAGGGTTCTAAGAGAGAAATTGGGTGCAAATTTGAATTCCCTCATATCGGAAAAAGTCACTCCGGTCGCCGGAGACATTACTTGTGAGAACTTGGGGGTTAAAGACTCTAATTTGGTGGAAGAGATGTGGAAAGAAGTGGATATTGTAGTTAATTTAGCAGCAACAACAAATTTTGAAGAGAGGTATCGGCTACAAAATCTTAATTCATCTAATTATATTGGATACACATTCTCAAGCTAATGATTTTTTTCTTCGCCGATCAAAAAATAAAATAATGATTTTGTTTATTTTTTTATTTTTTTTAATTATTTTTTATGTAGATATGATGTTGCATTGCTTCTCAATACATTGGGAGCTAAGCTTGTTTTGGACTTTGCAAAGAAATGTACTAATATAAAGATGCTGCTCCACATATCTACAGGTTAGTACAATCCCTCTAATTCTTCATTACCTTATTCATTTTCATATAAAAGTTCAACAAAATTACACAAATATATATATATATATATATATACATATATTCAGGGATTGAGCCTTTTAATAAAATAAATCCCAATTTTTTTTATTATTATTTTGTTTTCTATTTAAATCATCCATCTATTTTCATTAAGTAAAACTAATGAAAAAAATAGTATTTTAATTTTTAAACTCAATGAAAATGATATATTAGATATTTTTAATAATTTAAATTGAATTTAATGGCTAAAATATCATTTTTTTTTTTATCAATTTTAGTTAACAAAAATAGACGAATTATTTAAATTGAAAATAAAAAAATACATATTAAAATTTCAAAATTTATTTGTATCATTTTAAATAATTTTTCCTATAAGTTTTTATCAGTACTATTTTTCTAAATTATTTACATTATTGATAAATGATTGTTGCGATGATCAATGAGACTATCCCTCTAAATTCTAATTGTTGTCTCCCACAATGCTGTCACCCTCTCCAATTCGTTTGTCCCTCCAAAATTACATCGTGTTTTATTACATTGTTAACCCTATTTATTGTCTATGTATTAATCACGGGTATCCTAACCGCTATGCTATACAAAGAAAAAATAGTGTACATTATTTTTATACATAATGATATAGTTCATTATAAATCATTTACTTTAAAACAACATATCATTAAAAAATTGCTAATCGTTGAAAAAATATTTATAAGGGTATCAAAATTAAATATAAGGGCATAAGTGTCCAAGAAAATAGTGTAAATCAAGAAAATGGATTTTATGGAATAAAACTATACATACATGGGACTAAATGGGTTAAAAAATTCATTCATGGACTGTTTGGGTTAAAACACTTCTAAATTGGACTTATCAATAAAAATCCCATAAGAATATTGTCACATTATTCTTGTTAAGTTTTTTGTATAAATTTTATGTATGTTTACAATTTTCTTAGAATTTTCCATGGAAATTTTGTAATGCTTGGAATTTCACTTAAATTAAGTTTTCATACTTCAACTAGAGTTTTAATTTAGTTCATTCCATCATTTAATATTTGAATGAAAGTTAAAAGTAATAAAGTAATTTTTTTGCTATAATTTTTTTTCTTTAATGCTTTTAAAACATGACGAGAACTCTCTGTCCATTTTTTTTACATTGGATGACAGAAGGATTACATTAAAATTAAGGTGAAAGTTGACAGATTAAAGTGAAATTTATGTAAAAGTTAAATGTTTGAAAAATGTAATTTACCACTAATAATAAGTGGGGACCACGCACTAACTATTTTCTAATTAAATTTTGAGACAAATTTTTAGGCCTGGTAATATTACTAATGTAATACATCATTGACTCATAATTTTAAAAACACCATCCACGCATTAATTAATTTGAATATATTTTCCACATCAAAATTTTGTTTGTGAATCATTTTTCAATAATCATTCATTGGGTATGGTTTGTTTTCAGCTTATGTATCAGGAGAAAGGGAGGGACTCATAGTGGAGAACTCGTATTACATGGGTGAGACACTCAATGGGGCTCATGGATTAGACATTGAAATGGAAATAAAAGTTGTTGGAGAAAGGCTGAGAGAGCTTAGGGAGGAAGAGGCTACAGATGGAGAAATTAAAATGGCAATGAAGAAGTTGGGCATTCAAAGGTTTGCTTGACATAACCCAACCCAATTTAATCTAATCCGTCATTTTTAATTGTGCCAATTAATTCTTATGTTCATTTACTGTTAAAGAGATAGACAAAAATAAAAAATAGAGGGACAGAGTGATATTTCAATAGAAGTGTAAGGATTAAATTGAGATTTTAATAAAAATTTGAAGGTGCTAATGAAGCGAGAAAAATGTCATCTATACCTCACATAACAAGTTTTATTAGTCTTATTAATATCAAATATACAAAAAGATAATATTGTAACTTGACTTAAAACGTGGAGAGTTAACTGTTATAATTGAAAAAGAAAGGGTGAAAGAAAAATTTTGATAAAAAATATATATATATGGGTGCCGAGTGTAATTAACCCTAGAAGAGAGAGATTCTATGAATAAAGCTAATAATGCCTAAATTAAAGCAGCCTTTGTTATTGCATGTTTCTTCAACAACACACTAATATGCCATCAATAGTAATGGTACGCGCATAGAGGATCAAATATAGAAACTGTTTATCCAAATGATCAGTTGGATGATTGGTTAGAACTTGTCGACTGCGATTATCATCTTATCAATTGTAGTTGTCATCTTGTCAATCATGGTCAAAAGTTGTCGACCGTGGGTATCATCTTGTCATCCAGTCGATCACCCGATCATCCGGCCAGTAGGCCGGTTGTTCAAATGAACAATTTATATATTTGATTCTCTGTGTATGTAACATTATTCATGCCATCAATTGAATCTCAATATTAGAAGTTTGACTTGACATCATTAAAATTACAAGACGTTAATTATAATAATAATTAGGTATTTCATTAAAGGCATGTTCGGTTGCATGAATTGCTCCATTTTGAATTAACTATTCAAAATTTCTAAATTTTTTAAATGGATTAATTTAGATTTTAAAGGTGTTGAGCAATTCGACTTTTGATTTCTCAATTTTCAATTAAATAGTTGTAGTTCTTAAATGAATGAATAAATTTAATTTACCTTCCAATTTGCATTTTTGAGACAACCAAAGAAAGAGGACATCAAACATTGCTCAAACCTCTTTTATTAGCAGCCTACAGATGATTAAATCATGAAAAAGTCTATTAACACAAACTTAGACATATTAAATATAAGATAAGCCTTCTCTTCAAAATTGGACATATTAAATATAAGATAAGCCTTCTCCTCAGTCCACAACTAGATGGTACTATTGGGCTTGTAGGGCTCATCATAGATCTCATTTCAATGATCCAAACAGTTCTATGTATAAAACTTGTTGAGTATTTTATCCTTGCAAAAAATTATATTGCTTGAATATCGATAAGTACTTGATTAGAGCACATTTTTTGTTAACAATTTATTTTTAAAATCGTATTTACCATTAACAAAAATGTGATCTGATCGAGGAACAATTGATATTCAATCAACGCAATTTTTGCAAGAATGAAATACACGACAAGCTCTTCACAATAAATGGTTTGGGTCATCGAAATTGGACCTGTGGTGAGGCTTGTTGCCCAGCTATTCGTAGACTGGAGAGAAGTCTTGTCCTTAAATATATGAATGGATACAATTTTCTAAAACTAAAATCCACAAACAAATTCTATAAATTATTATCCATTTATATATATTTTATATATCTAATTTTATGATCAATTTTTATATTCATAATAGAATTGTTAATCCATTTTTCCATTATTTTTTTTTATTTTTTCAACTGATCTTACAGAGCAAGGAAGTTTGGATGGCCAAACACCTACGTATTTACAAAGGCAATGGGAGAGATGCTTTTGGGACACTTGAAAGAAAATATGCCCCTAGTTATCATCAGGCCCACCATCATAACTAGCACTTTCAAAGAGCCCTTCCCCGGTTGGGTTGAAGGTGTCAGGTAAAAGTACAAAACTGTCCATTAGGATTGTTTGGGATAATTTATTAAAGTTATGTTTTTTTCTTGAAACCAATTTTTGGTTTAAAATGGGTTTGAGATCCATCCGAACGGAAATCTAGACCGATTAACGGTTCAATATTCAACCGACCAGCCAATTCGGACCAATTCTTAAAACACTATTTAAATCTCGTTTGGTAATATTATTTTTTAATTTAAAAGTCAAAAAATTATTAAAAAAAATTAAAAAGTTAACAATCTATACTAAAAAATCAAAAACTTTCTTTTTCTCTCTACATTTTGTATATATTTTCGTAAAAATTTAAAAATCATTTCAAACATACTAAGTTTTTTTACATCATACTTTAGCAAAAAAAAATTAAAAATTACTAAAAAAATATGTTCCAAATGAGGCCTTAATAGTCTTTTTAGTAAGTTAGGTGGTCTAGAGCACAAGTTTTTTTTTCTTTTTTTTGGTTTTTTCATTTGAAGTGAGTGAGAGAGAGAGAGAGGGCATATAGTCTATAAACTGACCTTTTTTTTTTTTTTTAATATTACAGAACGATTGATAGCATGATAGTTGGCTATGGCAAAGGAAATATGACATGCTTCCTCGCTGATCCAAACTCTATTATTGATGTGGTAAATCTTTCATTTTTTTTTTTTCTTTTTTCATTTGGGCTAAAATAGCTCATTAAAAGATAAAACATATTAAAATAATTAATAAGACAAAAATTCACATTCAACCCATAATTATTTCACTTTTCTCTTACAACCATCAAATTAACTACAAAAAAAAAAAAAAACAGCCAATTAACTTTCCAAATACAAATTTATTAGCTAAGCTAAAATAATAAAAAAAATTAAATAACTAACTAAAATAATTAATTTTCTAAACAAGACCCGTATTGATTAATGTTCATTGTATAATTTTACCCCAACACAACAACATAAATAAAATATGCAAGCACACTCAAGCAATTGGGCCTTCTTTAGTTCGGAGACCAAGGAAGTGGCCTTAGTGCCCTTGTACTTGGGCTGGTCCTGTGTAAGCATGATATAAAAGGATGTTTGAAACGTTTAATTTATCATTTTTAAAATTCACTTTTAATGATGTATTTAGTGAGTATTAAATTTTTATTTATCAAACATTTTATAATGTGAGATCTAATTTCAAAATTACATTATTAGAGATCATTTACAAGTGATAAATTAGGGGATGTAACATTGTTGTCATACATAACTACTAAATATTAGTGAGACTCATTTGACACTTATTGTAATAAAGGAAATTGATTAAGATGGGTGCATTAATAAGTATTTTTTACTTTTTAGTGTATTAAAAAGTCTTACTCACTTTTAATTGTTATCGTAAAGTCTTTTTTTTTTTTAATGTTTTTAACGGTTTTTTAAAAAAAGCCACTAATTATTAGTTTTTAGCAATAGTTAAAAAATTAGTTATAGAAAAATATCACTAATCATCACTAATACTTGTGGGAGTTTTAATCTATGCAAACACTTGTGTGTGCACCTGTCCTTATAACAAAGCTGTAAATAATTACCCTTGTAATAATAGTTATGCATATGCCAAATCATGTTATAAATAAAAAGTGGTATAAAAAAATTACTAGTTTTCAAATTAGTTTTTGAGAGTTCAAAACCCAGAATTTGTTTGGTGTACAATTTTTTCAAAAATGTTTTCAATTATTTTTTCTATCTCCTCTCTTATTCTCTCATAAATACAAATCAATCAATCACTTTTTATTTCTCTTCTCTCATTCTTTCACATCTTACACATAAATCAATCATTTTTTTTTTCCACATACATCCATTTAATTACAAAAAAATACAAATCATCCCAAGCTACAAAACTATAACTATAAAATTATTTTCAAAATATACAACTGAACAAATTTTTTAAATTTGAAAACTCTGTTAAAAAAATTATTTTTCAAAATTTAATTCAAAACCAAACCAAACGGACACTAACGTTTTTCGAAAGTTAGATTTTTAGTCAAGGAAATTACTACAAATTATTAAATTATTCTCTTAACTTTTTACATGATTTTTTTGTAAAAACTTAAAAAATTACATAAAAAATTAATTCCAAATGAGCCCTAAGTATGGGATAAGATTGTCGCTAGTCTTGTTGGGCCCATGGACCAACTATGAGTCTCGTTTTGACGTTCAGAACCGTCCATTTTATTTGATCATATGCATAAATCATTCATTAAAAAAAAATTAGATTGATTTGATAATTAGAGTCATATTATTTCATTGGTCTCTGTCTTCAAAAATCATAAACTATAAATATAATTTTGAAAATAGATTATTTATTTTTTTTAAAGGCAAATTTAATAAAATCATATATCTTGTAATTGAATTTCTTATAAATAATTTATACATAACAATTTAGATGGTCGAAATGTGACCGATTATTGCGCTATGTGACAAGGGTTTACATCTCCCTATTTGCGTTATGTACATGGATATGGATTTTAATTTTTTTTTAATTTTTTTTTTTTGGGGGGAGGGTTCATATCTCATTCATATATAGATCTATTGAATATTGAAAATAATATTATAGCCTTTACTCATTGAATTTATTTTTTTATTTATGTTTTTTTCTTAATTGGCCTTTGTATTTTTTCCTAAACGTTTAGGTAATTGAAAGGACAAAAAAAGTCACAAAGTGTCAATTTTTAGCGACATATATAAAAAATTGTCACAAAAAAATTATTTTTAGTGACAATTTTACAAAGATTTATTTTCAATAAAATTTAATAGGAATTAAGTCAAACTATTAAGATCTATTGATAATTTACCTAATTTTTTTTGATCTTCTGTTTTTAGAGTAACACTTTTTTTTTGTCTCTGTAATTGGTGCTTGTCCCTATTGAAAAATAATTGGTGGTTGTATTTGTTGGAAAAAAAATGGGATTTTTGGTGACTTTAATTAAATATTAAAGTGGGTCTCAACCATCAATTGAGTTGGGTCTAAGTGAGTCTAGATACTTTGCAATGAAATCTTTACACCACAAATAGAATGGCCAAAAACTATTGAGATTTGAATGAGAAATTGCCTCATGAAGTTAGCTTCATGAAAGAGGTAATGGGGTTTGTAACTTCTGCCTTTATTACAGAGTTTAATAGAGCATTAATGAGGTTTGTAACTCCTGCATTAATGGGGTTTGTAACTCCTGCTATTATTGCAGAGGTTAATCGTGCATTAATGACCAGCCATAAAGGCTGGAGGCTTCTCCTCTCTCCTCTATACATGTATAAATTGAGACCCTCCTGTCAAGTCTCACAACACAAAAATTGTTTTTTTCATTTTTTAGTCAGTTTGCTAGAAATTTCTACAGTGAGAGAGTGTTGCCATTGTTTTGTTCGCTAAGCTAGACAGAGAGTGCTTCTGCCGTAGCTGGTTTTGACCGTCGTATCCTGGGAGACAGGTGCCGGGATTCCTCAAGCACTCAACCCGTGAGGCGGCGAAATCTGTTTTAAGGAAACTGCTACCGTGCAGGCTTCGGTTTGGTTTCTTTACTATTTTTTATTGTTTTGTGTATTTCTGTTGAAATTTAGTTGTAATTATCAGCAGATGTTCTTGGTATATAATTTTGATTTCTTCATAAATCAATTTCTTTAATTTCACAAAGATGAACAACATGCTTAAAACAGATTTCCCTATATTTTTTATGAAATTGATCGAATAGATTTATATAGACAATTAGATTAGCTTTGTATAATGTTACTAGTTACTGTTGCAGAATTCCTCACTATTTCAATGATTGTAAATTATGCAATGTGATTCTCTAATTGCTTAGTTTAATTAGAATGCTCTATCATAATTTGTATACTTAATTGTATTAATCTGATCTTATTTTATGCGCATGATTCATCATTCCCCTTCTATGATTTGCATGAATTTTAAGGTTATAAAATATAATTTATGGATGTTGAAATTTTGACATGCTAATTCTATTTTAGGTTTTAATTTGTTACATGCTTATTATTTTCTAGATTAGATTACATGATTTAATCTTTAGAATTTTTTGCATGTTAATTGTTAAATGGTTATATACTTGAAGTGCTTGGTTATTAGTTTATTACATATAAACAATTCAAATTATTTACATAAACTGCATGCTACTTATTTGGTTTCATCCTATTTGACTAATGTTGCACTTGTATATTTTGGTCTTGCATGCTTCTAGCTTTACTATCTAATTTGCATGTGAAATTGCTTCTAGTTTTCTAGAGTTATATACACATAAGTTATTTCCATGTTTATTATTTAATAATTCTTATATAAATTTTAAGATTTGTACTTGAAATGCTTGGTTATTAGTTTGTTACATATAAACAATTCAAATTATTTACATAAACTGCATGCTACTTATTTGGTTTCATCCTATTTGACTAATGTTGCACTTGTATATTTTGGTCTTGCATGCTTCTAGCTTTACTATCTAATTTGCATGTGAAATTGCTTCTAGTTTTCTAGAGTTATACACATAAGTTATTTCCATGTTTATTATTTAATAATTCTTATATAAATTTTAAGATTTGTAATGTGTGGTTTTATTTCCATGAATAGTGTGTGATTTAATTGGATGAATTAAAGTTTGAATTAAATGGAGTTCTTTGGAGTTATAAAATTTGTGTAACTTGCCTATATTTATTTACATGGTTATTGTGAATTAAATTCTTGTATAATTTATGGCAATTAATTTTTAATTTAATGTAGAAGTTATAAATCTTAATTCCTTAGTTATTTTGCTATTCTATGATTTGGTAGAAGGTTAAATAATATTTGATTGTATGTACAATTGCTTTAGATTAGTTGCTTTATATTATATTGTTGTTTGCTACTAACTCTCTTTGTAGGCATACTTACGCATAGAAAGGAATTGGATGGACTACTTATAATCCTCAATTGGATTGGTTATTTTTCCTTTATATTTGAAGAAATTTTTTCCTTGAGATTTAGTTGGTTTGTTTACCAATTTGTAGTAGCAAGTTTTATTTGCTTGTATTATTAGAAGCATTTTTTATGCATGTATTTAGTTGTAGCAATTTTTAAATTGCTTGTAAGTTTGGAACTTGGTTTGGTTTTCTGGAATAGAAACCAAAGTGTTTAGCCTTGGCTAAAGAGTAGTTCTTATTTGTTCAGAAATGACAACTAAGACGGATTTGGTTTCAAACCTTTGGGGTTTGAGGAAGTCTTTGGGTTTAATCATTTTATTCCCAAAGTGTTGGAAAACCAAGTTTGGAGAAAGTCTTTGGTTATAATCTGATTATTTCCAAAGTGTTTTAATTTGAAAAAAGAAACCAAATTTTAGCATTAGCTAAAATATCTGTGATTTTTATTCAGAAATCATGGGCTCAGTTCTGGGAGTACCGGTTAACTTTTATGAGTGGTGTAATCCTGGTAGCAAATTTTATTTGCTTGGGAATTGGTTTGTTATAACCTGGTTTATCGCCGGGAAATCTTAATTTTAAAGTTGTTTCCCATGGACTAGGAGTCAACATGCTCTTAGATGTTTTGTCAGAAGGTTAACTGGGTTTTAAGTGGGACCGATGTGACCTCTCCAGTCTTCCTAGGAACATTCCTGACCATGTTCGATTCTAGGTTAAAT